TTTGAAAACCCGTTAATTAAAATTTTGGTAAAAAAATAACCAAGTTTTCGAAAGTCGTTATGATATTTGAATACAAGCTAGGGTATTTTTTTCTCCGTTGGAAATAACGGTCGAACAAGCACGTCAACTTCGTTTCTATTATGACGTTTATTTGAATCCATTCGTTAATTTTTGTCAATTCGGCTGTTGGTCTTTTTCTCTTGTCCTTACTTATCGTTTCTGTTCTTTTCCCCCAATTCTGTCTCACACTGTCTTTATTTTATTTAGTCTCTTTTTCGGTCTTTCCTTCTCTGGTTACCCCCCCCCTCTTTCTCTCTCTCTCTCTCTCTCTCTCTCTCTCTCTCTCTATCTATATATATATATATATATATATATATATATATATATATATATATATATAATATATATATATATATATATCTTGTCCGTTATCCCTTCTTCTCTTTCCGTATGTCTATCTTTCTCTTTCTATGTCACTTATCTTTCCCTTTCTCCCTCGCCCCCTGTCACTCACTATAGCGCATCAGTTTACCCCCATCAGCCACCCCCTCCACACTATATTACCCCCAGATCGCTCAGGGCACTCGGACTGTTAACACGCTCCTTATGTGCTCCTGCAGCTATGCCCGCCTGACATTCTCGGAAGGTAGCCGTTGTGGTCTTAAAACTCCTTCCTTGGTGTGAGGTCACCGGCAACGTCCTGGCTCATGATACCTATTCAGTGCCAGCATAGATAGGCAATAGGAAAAAAGCCATCCTAAATAAGTTGGCATTGAAAAATTAACAGAGTGGAGTTCAGACTGGCTATACACACTAGCCTGGATAACAAGCAGACGACCCACTCAGCCAACCAGGGGCTAACAACCCAACAGCCCATAGCCAACATGAGCTGCCAAACCACCAACTGAGGTCAAAATGGCACGCATAAGGATTAGAGATAAAAACCCGACCTCTTCAGGCAGGCGGGCAAAAATATGGCAATGCTTTGGGCAAGCAAAGGTGACGGTCTATAAAGTAGAAGACGTCAAAAATGCTTTTTATGCAGTCGCAAATGAAGAGACAATTGAAAAGCTGATGTCCACAGATTGCAAAGCAATATTTCAAACACAGCAATTTGAAATACAAGATCCTCCTGAATATAATGCCATGAGAACAGTAACAATCAGAAACATTGACCGACAAATCATTGATTATGAAGAGAGCGAAATTAAAGAAACCATCGAAAGAGAGAATGCTGGGCAAAGGTTGAAGAGGCGATTAAGCTACCTAACGCGCCAACAATCATTAAGGTGAGGTTCGAAACCACCCAAATGGCCAAGAAAGCCCTGGAAAGCGGAATGCTGCTCTTGCACCAATCCATCCCATCAAGATTTATCGAAAAAGAAATTTTCATAATCTAGTCCCTTGCTATAGGTGTTATAAATACGACCATATGATAAAAGATTGCAAGGAGCCAGAGACCTATAGAGCTTGCTCAGAATGCTCTGCGAAAGATCACACATACAAAAATTGCAATAATATTACAAAGAAATGCCTGAATTGCAACGGTGATCACCGCACGCTAGCCGCTAAATGCCAAACCAGGAAAAACATAATCAAAGAAAGAACCAAACAAGAGAGACAGGCACTGAGGAGCCAAACAACCGCCACCTCCTCGTTTACCCAAGCAAGCTATGCGAGGGCAGTAACAGAAGCAAGAACTGCCACTACAGTCAATCCTGAGGCAATTATAAAATCCTTACCACCGAATGCAGCGGCCAGCATAATGAGTGCGATCATATTTGCATACATTCAGGAAGCCAAAGAGCCAGGCAGCTTCCAAAAACGGTCGATGAGATGTATGACCTAAACAACATCCCTAGAGTCAGATTCCCATCTCAGAACAATGCCAGTGAAACACTTAGCGTACTCATGGGCAACACCACAGTAATGGACGCAGAAGCAGATAACAGGCAAGGAGAAATGGAACACGAGGAAACAAGCAACAAGAGAGTCAGGGAAACATCGCCAACCCAGGAAACAGCCGCAAAGAAAACGGCGAGCGAAGAAACGTCGCAGCGAGGGCAGACGGAGAGCGACGAGGAATACAGACTCCCGCGCCCGATACACCACCAAGAGGAAGAGGAAACCCCCGAAACCACGTAGACAACCCGAACGGAAAGCCAGCGTGACGAAAGTGAAACTGCCAGAGATCAGACTGAGAGCGAAAGTGGAAAGCATTGGGTTCATCCCCAAGAGACCATCGCACAGAGAGATCGCACAGTTCATCCAAACAAAACTAATAAAGTACACATACTACCATCCTGACATATACGATGACCAAACTATCAGAGATCAGATCCACAGCAGAATTATCGACCTGAGCGCCTACAGGATACAGTATGTGGCAGAAGATGCATTCAACAGCATCACTAACGGGACGAGAGGCGAACACCACACTGCCAGAAAGTCCTCCACAGACCCTGACATAATATAGAAGGCTCTCGTGAACACAGCAAACATGTACTCAAATAGATTCAGAATAATCCAACACAACGTCCTGAATTGGCGCACGAGAAAACACGAACTCTCCAACACATATCTGAAGGAAGATCCAGATATCATATTAATCAATGCTCATTGTGTCCAGAATAACGAGCAAATAAAGATCTTTGGTTACAATGTCCATCAAAGAAACATACTAAACGAAGGCGATGCAGGAGTTGCAATATGCATCAAGAGACATATAAAACACAAAATCATAGACGACTTCAATGAGGACTTCCTCGCAGTTGAACTGCAGACAAATCGTGGCAAATTCATAATCGGCACAGCATACATGCCGCCCCGACGCCCACAATTTCCTTACCCAGACATAATGAAAATAATGCGAACCAACATCCCCGCATACATCATTGCTGACTTAAACGCCAAACACCGAACGATCGGCCACAACAGCAACAATCTCATGGGTGACGAATTAGTAAATTTAATAAACCAAAATATGATCACCCACATTGGCCCGGACTTCGATACCTTCGTCAGCACAAGAGGAAAAGGTCGTCCAGATATTATTCTTGGGAATAAAAACGTCCATATGAACCATGCTATCCAACAAGGACCACTAACCACGTCAGACCACCTACCCATAGTCTTCACCTTATCAACATCACCCATCATGATCCCGCAAAAAGAAATGTTCATTCTAAAAAGGGCAGACTGGGAACTTTTCAAAAAAGACGTAGATGACCATATGACCATAGAAGACGCTGAGAACACAGTAATCAGCAAAGAGTATATCAATACCGAAATCGACGCATGGTACACCACCGTTGAAAGAGCAATGGATAAAGCCATACCAAAGAAAAGGTTTGCTACTTTACCACACCCATTAACAAGTAATCGTCTGAAATTACTAGAATGGAGATATAAAAATATCTTAAACGCCGTCGAACATATTGGTTGGACAACAGCATCACGAAACCAATACAGGGAAATACAGGAAGACCTGAAAGAAGAAAGTAAAGCCCTATACACAAATCACTGGAACAACCTAATAAAAACAACAGAGCTTGAGTACAACAACCCTAAAAAGTTCTGGGGGAAAATAAGACGGTTAATGGGATGCAAACACAATCAGGCTCCATACATACTGAATGAAAGAATGAGAAAGTCTTTGACAGCAAACAGAAAGAAGCAGTTTTCAGAAACTTCTGGAAGAACATCTTTAACATCACTCCAGAAGATAACAGAACTTTCGACCTGCAACACGAAGCCCAGATAAAAGCCTATCTATCTGTAAACAAGGAAAGACTAACCCCCTACAGAGAAGCAAATCTAAACAGATTGCAAGATGACAGCCCTCTAACCAGACCAATATCTAAAGAAGAAATAAAAACAATCATAATTAAATTTAAAGACAAAACACCTGGCGCAAGCGGAATAAGAAAGACCATTATGCAAAAACTACCGGAAGCGGCAATTGAAAAATTAAAAGCAATATTCAACTGGTCCCTTTCGATGGGTTATTTCCCGGACAAATTTAAGAACGCGGTAATGATTCTCATTCCCAAAGAAGGAAAGGACCCAAGAAAACCCGAGAATTACCGACCGATCTCCCTATTAGAAATCCCGGGAAAAGTATTCGAAAAGATCATTAACAATCGCATTACGAACTACATTGAAAGATGCAATCTCTTCAATAACAACCAGTATGGTTTCAGAAAGGGAGAGGCACACAACAAGCAATTGCGGCCATATACGAAACAATCGCCATGTCACAGAGAGACCGACAGCAGTGCAACATAGTTTGCAGAGATGTTGCGAAAGCATTTGATAAAATGTGGAAACCAGGACTGCAATACAAAATATTGCAAATCAATGTACCACATATCATGGAAAAGATCCTCTGCAACTTCGTGGAGGGAAGAACAGCAATGATACGACTCGATACAGTTGCAGGACCAAGATTCCCACTACGGAGCGGGGTGCCACAAGGGTCAACATTAAGTCCAACTCTCTTCATACTCTACACGGCAGACCTCGAACGACCCAACAACAACTGCGTCGACGTCAGCTTTGCAGATGATATAACTCAAATCATGCTATATCCATTAAAGTCAAAAGAAATGCTTACTGCAGTCACCGTAAATGAAATCAAAAGGATAAATGACTTCGAGAAGAGATGGAAGATTAAAACAAACAAGAATAAATTTCAACTTCTCTCAGTATCAGCCACAAAAACCAAAGGAGGTAATTGTTGACCAAGAGAGAATTCCATTCTGCAACAAAGTAAAGATACTTGGCATGGAATTCGGCACCCGCGGGGTGTCAACCCACATGAAAAGGAGACTTGCAATGGCAAAAAAGCAATTCACCAAACTAAAACGTTTCAAAGGAATGAGTACGAATACGCAATTGCACTTCTACAAAACCCTGATAAGACCAATCATGGAGTACCCAGCCATCCCTCTCTGCATATCCTCCAAAACAAACATCAGGAAGATGCAACAGTTCCAGAA